ACAAAATATAAGATACTTATAGATATAAACAATAAACTTGGCATAAAAGCAATGACTGAAGTAAAATAGTTTTATCTTCCACCTACCAATATGTTGCTATTCAATTACGAGTTAGATATTTAACTTTTAATTTGATCTTATTGCTTTAGAATAACAGGCTAAGAAATTTATAAGCAATTAACACAGTTCTTAAGAATATTGTTTCTACTTTTTGATTTCACTGATTTATATTAAAAATGGATTTCTATCACAAGATGCTTTATCAGAAGTATTCAATACTTTTATGGAATTACACTATCTGCATTCATTATAATATTTTTTTTTTTTTTCCTTTTTATAATAACTACTCTAGGCAGCTGGTCACGCAAGCAGTTAGTATTTCAAAAATAACCTAAATTAGTATCAAAACATATTGTTACGAAATGTACAGGTGCGGTATGATGGCTTCACCACACAGCAGTTTTAGGGTTGCCATATTTGGCGAGAAATCACCCATTTGGCAACAAAATTGGCGATATGCCATGGACGGATGGAGAACCTTCTGGAACAAATTCACCGTTTAGAATGTTCTCGATCACAAGCCGAAAGCTATATAAACCCTGCTGGTCCGCAGTCTTAGGCGAGTGTCTTGTCTGGAGTGTTAGATAGATAGTCAGTCCGTGCGGAGTCGATCAAGTTAACAGCCGGGCAGCGAGTGCCGAGTGCATCAAAGTATCGCTTAGCGTAACACGGTTGGTGCATCATCGAGAGAGTGTGTTAAGCTCCGGGAACGACTGAACCGAAGAGTCGAGAGCTGTGAGCCATCGAGTGCATTGCGAGTTGTAGCGTGGAGAGTCTCGAGAGTACGTGGAGTTCCACGAACGACCGAGCAGGGTCGGGAACTGTGCTCTGGTGCTTTGCAGTGAAGCTGTCTCCACCATTATATCCTGAAGGCTGTGTCACTGATTGTTCCAGCGAATTTATAGCAGATCTTCGACAACTGTAAAACGTGACTTTAGAGCTGTCCTGATTAATATTGGCTGAATAAAGTGTGTTTCGCTCTTTCATTAAGAAGTGTTGCCATTATTCACTCCAAATCTACGAATCCCGTATGAACGTGAAGAAAGAAAATGACGTGACAACCGGTGTCAGAAAAAAGAAAAAAAAAAAAAAAAAACGCAACAATATGACAACATAATGCCAAATATAAATCGCATAAATTTCAATATTTGTCCTTTCAAATTCCGTCAACTGATCCATCAGAATCAGAGAAATAGAACTATTCTACGAAAGGGTTTACAGTACCAATAAAGGGCGTCTCAAAAAGAATGCCGGATTTGAAAAGCCAGTTATTTTTTGATACTGTGCTTTTGTTATCCAGGTTAGTTTGTGGTATATAGTCCAGGGTTGCCACTCAAACAGGAGAATGAAATTCCCTGACTTTTCCAGGTTTTCCAGGTGTGTTTCAAGAAAATTCCAGTCTATCCGCGTAATGTACGTTGGCTGTGCTAAGAGGTAAATTAATTATGGTATTACTTGTATTGTGTAGCAAATTCACTTAATTATTCAATAAATCCCAGAGGACATTTATTCTTAATTATTCTTGGTATATACTTTGTTTGATAATTTTGTTTACTTTTCCACTTAAGAAACTTAATAAAATTTAAGAATATATTATTGGATAACAATGTATGTTTTATTTAATTATTACTCATGATCATCACCAGTTCAACACGAAGCTAATCCGGTCCTTATAAATCACAAAGCAATGCTAAATAGTTAGGTTAGATTATAGGTAAATTTAATTTGCGTGAGGTATGTTCTTAAAACCTTGAAAACACTTGAAAACACAAATATAATTATAATTGTTGTTGTTTTCTCCATTGAAGATTGAGATTAGAATCTTCCCAATCTGGAATAAAATAAGGCTTTTTTTGCAGACATTTCTGCAGCTAAACGAAGAAAGAAATTATTTTAATAATTGAGGTATTTTATATTTATTTTGCAGCATCATAAGGAAAAAATATGTGCATTAAATTTTCGTGATGGTATGTCATCATACTGCTATAATAATTTCAGGATTATGCCAGAGAAAATTTCCTAAAATTTGGAAATATTATTTACTAATAATAAATAAATTTAGAGGGAAGAAGCAACATTAAATTATATGAATAACTTAAAAATAATTACTTAAAAATTGAATTAGAATAATCATCTATATTTTAGCGAATATAGTTATATTACATGGCTTTAGATGACTGATTACTATTTTTTTTATTTTTCTGCAAAAAATGGCAAGGTATTTTATTAAAAAGAAAAAAAAAGGGTTAAAAAAGATTTTGCGGTAAAATTCTAGTATACGGTAAGGGCACGATTTTGAAAATTGTCGCCAAGACCAAAATGACCCGTTTACTGCGCATCAAGATGTCGCCAAATCCCATTATTATTCTAACCAAAGAACGTCTATGTAAAGAAGAAAAGGTTCCATACAAGTAAAATGCTATTACGCCGACGTTTCTTCTTCGATTTTTCGCAATAATTTTAAAAACGGATTTCGTAGTTTTTTTTTTTTTTTTTTTTTTTTTTTTTTTTTTTTTTTTTTTCTCCTCTGAAAATAACTAATCAATGAATTAATTTACTTGCACCAAAAAATATTTTCTTTTCCTTTAGAGTTTAACTACTTGCGCTAAGACTAAACTTCACGGTTGCGGTGCCGTGCGCTACAATATAGTAAGTGGTAAAGTGTCTCATTTACGACGCTCCGCATCTGCGAGTGCAATCCAGAGCTGTAACTCGAGAAATAAACAATCTCGTTGTTAGGCGACGTGGTGCACCATTGTATTTTCATTTTTGCGATAAATGCTTATCAACGTGTTCACGTCGCTCGCAGTTGAGACAAAAACATCTCGACGTGCGTGGCACGTCTTTTTAGCGCAAGTGGGTTTAAAGAAATTTTAAGGATATCATTTAATGAACTCTTGATAACGTGACCTTCGAACTTCGACCACCGGTTTCGAGCTTTGGTGACAGATATATCAGACATGCAACAGCTGTTTCCCTCTATGATGGAACGGAGCCATGTCTGTTGCAGAGAGGTTTTTCCTTCTTTACAATACATATTCTTTGATTCTAACCTCCATAGTACCGTATATACTAGGATAATTAAACCCATTTTGTTTTATACGAGAACAGGTACTTTCTTTAGTTCATGCACTGCGCATGCGATTCTCGAGAATACTGGAAACCAAAAGTTGCGGGGGGAAAGTTGCTTTGCCTTTCTAAAAAGACAATCAAATTGGAGCTGCGAAAATTGGCTCTATGCCAGCTACCCGAATGACACTCACGTGATACATAATTCGCCAAAAAAGTTACCTCTTCCAACGTCGGCACAAAAATCGCTTTTTTTGGCGGGATCGTTGTATGAACTTCCCCGACTTTTCCAGATTTTGACAAAAATACTTAAATTCCCTGACTTTTCCCTGAATATTTTGGTCAATTTTCGAATTCCCTGACTTTTCCCGGTTCTCCCGGTAGCGTGGCAACCCTGATAGTCGTGGAAAGATACATTACGGAACAGTTAGTGTTGATTGTGAAAACTCACTACAGAAATGATGAAGGTTTCGTGGAGACTGTTCGAAAACTCTGTACGATTATGGGACATAACAATGCACCAAATGAATCCACTGTTCGTAGGTTGATCAAGAAATTTGAAAAAAACCGGTTCAACAGAACATATCAAAAGCACAGGAAGCCCTCGAAGTGGCCAGAGTGATGTAAATGTTGCTGCTGTGCTTGATTCGGTCACTGTGAGTCTGGGAAAATCATGTTGCCGTCATGCTCAAGAAATGAACATGTGTCCAGCAACAATGCATAGTATCTTAACGAAAGATTTACATTTACACCCGTACAGAGTTCAGTTAACACAGGAACTTAAACCAGCAGATCATGGAAAATGATGACAATTTGTGCAATGGATCCTGGAAAAAGAAAGAGAAACACGTGGTTTCACAAAACGCATCATTTTCTCAGATGAAGCTCACTTTCATTAAAACGGCTTTGTGAATAAGCATAACTGCAGAATATGGGGATCAGATTCCAAGATAATTCACAAAAAAGACATGCATCCTTAGCGAGTTACGGTTTGGTGTGCAATTTGGAGTGGGGGTTTAATTGGTACTTATTTTTTTGAAGATGAGCAAGGAAAGGCTGTCACGGTGAATGGAGTTCATTATCGTGCAATGCTCACTAATTTCCTTTGGCCCCGGTTGGATCAAATGAACATGGAACATTTCTGGTTCAAACAAGATGGTGCAACTTGCCACACTTCAGGAGACACAATTGCTCTGCTGCGTGAAAAGTTCTGAAGTTCTCAGACAGACTAATCTTGTTACAAGGAGACTAAACCTATCCACCTAGATCTTGTGATCTGACACCTTGTGACTTTTTCCTATGGGGGTACACTAAGTCATAAGTTTACAAAAACAAACCCCATAATCTGTTGGAACTCAAACAAGAAATTCAACGGGCTCTCAACGAAGTAGATGGGGAAATAAGTGAGCAGGTGATGGTTAATTTCATGGACAGAATGATTGCTTGTAGGGCTAGCGGGGGGCATGTGCCCGATCTTGTGTTTCATGTATAATCTCAACATCTCCTGAAGAGAATGGTGTGTTTTGTTTGCTACTTTCAAACAAATAAATTTGATTTATAGTACATTCAAGTCTGGCATTCTTTTTGAGATACCCGTTATATAATGGATGAAGGAAATTAAAAATCATTAACTTACAGAAAACTTAAGTGGACAAGAGAAATGTGAATAAAAATTATCATTTTTTCAGTATATAGCACATTACTACAGACATACTTGTTCTTGGAGCATTTGCAACTTCTTTTCTCTTTCAGCTTCACTATCTTCAGAACCACTACCAGAAGAAGAATCAGATGACATATCACTAGATACACTCGGTGCAGAATCTTCAGTTTTTTCATTTTGTGAATTTAAGTTCAGATCATTAGATGGAGGTTCATCAGGCATTTTTGCATACTTCATTTCAAAAACATCCTACAAAACAGTGCAATTTTTTAATGCATAAAAGATAATGCAAGAATATCAATTACAAATAACTAATTTGAACAAAGAATTTTCCTGAAAATGATGCATCAAATCTAAATGATATATCAAACCTTTATATCATTTATGACTAAAAATTGCTTACCTGTAATTTCCTTGCCATTGCAACCACTTCATGGTCAGGTGGATTATACTTGTAGCAATTTGTGAAAATGAGACGCACATCGCCTGCAAACTCCTCTGGGACTTTGTATTCATGATTGTCCATTTTTCTCTAAATGAGATAAAAAATGTTTATGGAAATGCATCATCTTCACTTACAAATGGTCAACAATTATATTGATAAATTTAAGAAAATTCAGTTTGTGATTTATTTTGCATTTCTTTAGTTGATAAGGCAAAATTTAATAGTCATTTGATCACAAAAAGTTTACACTGTTCAACTATACGTAGATGTCCCCCTAAAAGTTATATCAACTTTTGGAATGATATCTGAATACTAACTTTATTTGCAGTTTAAAGATATTTTTAAAATTTCCCCATACCTCATTTTGGTTCAGGGATATTCATAACGTATTCAATAAAACTTAGAAGACAATGAAACAGACTTAATAAAATTAATAATCTCAATGAGACAGACTCAAATTAACATGACAATGAGACGAACTCAATGATATTAGGTCTTATAATAACAATAAGCAAATAATAATAATAATAATTCAGAAACAAAAAATAAAACAATAATAATAATAAACATAAATAAGGTATTTAACAAAGAAGTGACAGCAACAGAGGCTATGAGAGAGGAAAGTGAAAACTAAAGAATTCTTAATACACTAACAGGTAGTAAGAATCATTTATTGGGCCAGTCCATAAATTCGTGCACATTTTTTTTGGTAAAGTTTTAAATAATATAAAAAGCCACAATTTAACATTTTAATCAATTATATATTTTCCTCCATTATCTACTATGTCTTGCCATCTTAAAGGCAGCTTTTTTATGCCATTGCTGTAAAAAGACTTTGGTTTTGATGCCAAAAAAACTTGAAAGTTCATTGTGTACATCCTGTTTAGAATTTAATTTTTTTTCCAGTAAAAAATTTTGTAAGGCACGAAATAAGTCAAAATCAGTTAGGGCAATATCTAGGGAGTAAGCAGGATGTGGGAAAAGCTCCCAATTAAATTCACTTATTTTTTGCAGCGTTATTCGAGCCGTATGCGGTCTAGTGTTATCATGATGAAACAACACTTTCTTGATATTCACCAATCATGCGTATTTTTTTATCCATTCTGAGTTTAGACAACAAAGTTGTTCACTATAAACTTCTGAATTAATCGTTTGATTTGGTTCTAACAGTTCAAAACATCCTGAACAGGGTTCACCATCAATGTTGCTTTTTCCAACTTTAAATTTTTTAAACCATTTCTGGGCAGTCCTTACACTAACAGTGTGTTCACCATGTACACTATTAATTTTTATCGCTGCAAACCTGGCAGATTCACCACACGAAAATAAAAAATGCAGCATAGCACGTTTGTACTGATTATCTACATTCATCTTCTATGGGTACTAAAATACGTTCGACATTTACGAAAGTTGGTGATGAACTGAATAATATTTTAGTCAAACGATGACACAGGTTCAAAATTGTATTGTTTTAGTAAATGCATCATAGTGAATTCCACACATACTCTTAATGTGCACGAACTTATGGACTGGCCCATACTTTGTAATACAATCAAATAATACTTAATGAACACCTCCAATAACAAACAAAACAATATGAAAAAAAAAAAATCCTCTAACAAGTGAAGCTTTGCCAGACATCAAATGCAGGAACCCTACCTGGATCTCGCTATGTTGTGATATGATAATAAAAGAAATAAATTTAGCTAAAACAATCAAGCAATTTTAGAAAATCAAAAACGTCAAAATTGCAAAAACAAAAAGAATCATAATTAAATGGAGAGCATTTTAAAAACAACTACACTCTTGAACTTAATGGAAAGTACAAAGTTAAAATGCTGTTTAAAAAAAACACGGAGTTCAGGGAATTCAAAACAAATTATGCTTCAAAGGTTGTACTCACAGATTCATTTATGTAAGGATACAAATTACTCATATTAAACTTAGACTTTTTATGTGACTATGGGGAACTGGGTCACATGACTGAAGTCAAGAATGAAAATTAAGAGCAAAAAGGGACATACTACATCCCAAACCTTTGGATTTATCGCCCTAAGAAAAGCTTGACACCTCTGATAGCAGAGTTTAATACTTTGACTATAATGTCACATGTTCAATGCTTCGATTATACTGTCATGTGTAATTCAATTCAATGTAATGGTTGCATAATTAAAAAGAACTTGTTTTCAATTAATGGTACATTTCTGAAAACATATTTATGCTTTTACAGAGCATGTCAAACAGGTTTACCAAATGATATCAATTCATCCTAACCAATGGCAGCTACATAGAATATTATGGAAAGAATCAATAAATGGTGCAGTAAGTTGAGTTATGGAACAGTAAGTGTGCTCTATAAGCATGAGAACATTATGTCAGCTTACTATACAAGATAAATGTAGAAATTTTCCATTCATAGCTACAAAGTGATTTTCAAATGGTTGATGGGCCAACAGGTCCAATTCATGGCAAAAAAAGTTACAGCATGAGTTGAGATTTTTTGAAAAACAACTATGACACAGCACAAATGGCAAAATTTCTGAGCTGGGAATTGATGATGATGATGAATATGCATTTCAGTGCACAAATTACGTTTCAGCTCTTGGTGTTTCTTGGAAATCAGATGAGGAATATTAGGTGAAATTAGAAAACGAGCGTGAAATTACCAAAAGGCAGTCAACAATAGTGAGAATCTTTCACCCTCCTGGTTTATTGGGTCCAATGATAGCTAATGCTAAAATATTTCTTCAGAGACCTATGGTTGATGAAGCTCAAATGGGATGACATTCTACCCAAGAAAGAAGACAAGGAATGGTGACAGTTTTTCTCTGTACTGCAAGATATATGTAACTTGGAAATTAATGGATGCATTTTTGTTACAGAAGCAATTGTTATTGAGTTGCATGGATTTTGTGATGCCCAAGTCAACTTACGGGAGCTATAGTTCATTACAAATCTGTCTCCAAATGTGGTGAAGCATCAATAAGACTTAGTAACAAGTAAATTGTGAGTTTCTCCTATAAAGCAAGTTACCATACAGAGATTAGAATTACATGCAACAGTTTGTGAAATTAACATTTCAAGTAATAGCTCTGAAGCTTAATTAAATAATGCATTTTTTAGAGCGACTCCATAATTGTCTTGCCTTGGCAGTAAAAAGAGCCCCGATTTTTAAAAAACGTTTATTGCCAATCGAGTTGCGTGGTGGTGCAACAGACGTTGGATGTGCAGCAGTGGCCGCACCTTCTATCACACAAACTCCAGAGGACTCGACTCCGTCAAGCTTATTCAAAGTGAACTACAGTAGAAGAGCCCTGGTTTCCTGCTGAAGGATGAATATCCATCTAAAGTGACTCCTACTGAAGTTTCTGAGAAAGACTTCCCTGATGAATTTTAAAAATTTAATGACTCTAAAATTTCACTTAATACAAAATTCAGTTTTTAATATAAGAGTAATGATGTTAATTTTTTACTTGAGTAATAACCTTATACACTTTTGCATATGTTAGGTTTTGTTTACAGGTTCTGCAATAAGTGCAATGCTAAGAACAAAATTAGAGCTCCACTTAGAACTCCGAATCAAAATCATTCAAGAACAAGAGTTTAAAAAAGAATTACCTAGTCTACCAATAGATGGTAAGGTGGTTCCAAATTCTAAGTTTATACTCCTTTTTAGATAGTGAAAATATTTTGTGGATAGCAGACAGTAAGTATAAATTTGAAAGGAAACTTCCTATAATTTAGCCAAAAAATCATAGATTAACAGTCTTAATAACAGAGAAAAACATGCACTTTGGACATCAAGAATTACTGTGATTTTTAGATAACAATTTTGGTCTTAAGAGTGGTTGTAACCTTTGTAGGAGGAAATCAGTCCATGAATGTTTGATTTATTAAAAAAAAAAGTCTCTTGTGGAAAAACTCATAGCCCACTTACTGCAGGGAAGAGTAAAACCAAATGTTCCATTCAGTTATGTAGGAGTCGATTTTTGTGGGCCATTTACGAAAAAATACAAAAATCAGAAGTTTGGAATTCTTAATAAAACATATTTAAACAGGCATGTATGTCTTTTCCGACAACACAAGGAATTTTGTTGGAAGTTTTTTAGAATTGAATAAGCTAATCAACAAACCAGACGAGAAGTTATGTAATTATTTTCCCTCTTTTTTTAATTAAAAACACAGGCAATTAATTCTCCATGTACCACAAAGTATCATGAAACTTACAGAAGTAACGACAAAACACAATACAGAAAAATTAACAGTAAAGGATAACATTTAAAAAAAATTATGAAGGATTATTTAATTTAGAAAAATAGTCAAAGGCACTTCTCTCACAAATAAACTAATTAAAATTCGGAGGGCAGTTAATATTTTTAAGCATCACTTTTGAGATCTTTCAAATCTAGTGATCTAACTTAAATCTGCTTAGATAACTTTTAAAGTTTCCATGACCAGCAACGAATTGGGGCATTATATAACTTGTAACAAAATGACAACATGACAATCTCATTTTGATGGAAGGGAAAAATCTCACAGTTAAACTACATTTAGAACTAATTTATTTTTGAGTCTATGACTCCACAATACTTTCATTCATGATCTTATTACAAAAGGATTTACGGATATTGACATAAATGTCAATTCCAGGATTGGTGGCAGTCTTTACAAGAAAATCAGCACGTTCATTCCCAACCATACTCATATGTCCACGAACAAATGCAAAAGCAACCTAAATGTTTTCAGCTTTCAGGTTTTTAAGTTATCTTTGAACCTTGATGATTATGTTATAATAAAAAATAGATTTTAGGATCTCCAAGGATGAAAGGAAATTAGTACAAATGAGATAGTTTGAAACATCACTATTTTATTCAACAATGCATTTGATGGTGAAATTTAAACACAAAAGGCCAGCCATAAAAACTATGCATTCATCTTGAAGATATCATCTGCAAAGACTAAAGTATCACAGCAGGCAAGAATTTTAAGCTTTGAGAGATCATTAATAATACTCTTCTAAAAAGTAGGTACAGAAACTGAGCCTTGAGGGCTCTTTCAAGGTAACAAATTACAAAAGCCGAGTTAAGTTGCCATCTGAGGCAGTCCTATCATTTAAAAAGTCAGCAGCAAGTGAAAAAAATATTTATCCGCTTTTTTTAAGAAGGTTGAAAATGGAAAGCTACCACACGCATTATCAGAGGCTCCTTTTACAAGAAATTCCAAAACAGTGTGCAAATTTTTTCTTTTTACATCTCTGAAAATTTCAATCAAATTTCACTCCTCTGGGGTGTAAAAATGTACTGATTAACAAAACAAAACAACAACAACAACAACAACAAAAAGTGCTCAGATACCAGCAAATGCTGTTGACGAAAAGTTTTTCCAAGCATTTACCTAGAGCAAAAGGTAAACTATACATCCAAAGTTATCCAAATGAGGAAAGCTAAGACTCATTTCCTTTAGAAATAAGTATCACCTGAGCAAATTTCTAAATATATGGGGAAAAAACATCCAGACATACTCTAAAAGTTTATGAAGAAGAGATGGAAGAAACTGTTTAATAATCTATTTTGATATTGGATCAGGTCCACATGATTATTTGCCCATTGAGGGCATTGATTAGGCTTTCATTCTTCTACATGCTCCTAATCATGGAGGACTCTGGGAGGGAACTATCAAGTCTGTCAAACATCATCCGAGATGGATGGTGGGAAATTTGAAATTAGCACTGAAGGAATGTTTAGCTGTAATTGTCCAAATTGACAGTATACTTAATTCATGGCCACTATATTTTATGTCATCTGATTAGGATGACTCTGATATATTAACACTTAGTCGATTGGAACATCAATAACTGTATTAATCGAAATTAGCATTTTAAATGCAAATTAAGGGGGATTCCCAATTCATGGAATTGGTGAAAAAATGTAGACAAATTTTAATAACTGATGATAAAACAGAAAATTTTCACTATGATAACAATGCCCCATCATTAATCAACTTACAGAAGGCTAAATCTGCAATATGGTTCTAAATCCAAAGAATATCGCTACCAATAGCAAAGAAAGTGAAAGGGAGGTTACTGAAAACAAAAAAATTTCATTGACAATTTAGTGGAAATTTTCAATGTCGCAATTACAGGTTGTTTTAAACAATGGAACTTTGTAAGTGAACAAGAAATTATCTATAGAAATAGAAGTCTTGATTCCATAAAGGTCATGCTTCATTATTTCATACTTTTAATTCTATAATTTCTACGTCATCTTACTAGATTTAAACTGATGATCTAATATGCAGAAAAATTCCAAATCTGGAATCACGCTAAGTCTAGTTCCTAGAGGTCATAATGTTTTGTTTTGCTAACCAAAGCTTGCTTTGAATTCATTGCAAACAAGCTATTCTGGTTAAGACTATTCCGTAAGAGAAATATATGTCAATTTCTTGTTAGCTGGTTTTTAACATTAAAATTAAGGTATACAATAAAACTAAGAGCTTCTCAAAAAGAAAGAAAAACACCAGCCATATTTTCTTCCATAAAGTTTTCGGAGGGTTTTGTTTTGAAATGAGCAAATGTTCCTTGTTGCACTTTCCAATCCATCATATGTCTGGTATGGTGAAGGAAGAAATAAGCCAAAATATGCCAATATTTATTTTGGCCTAATATATACAACATGGCTTTAACAGAAAAATAAAGAATTTCCAATTTTATTTATACATATGTATTGATTAAAAACACTACATTTATATTTTGACGTTCTTTTTAATTTAGAGTAAGGCAATTTTAGTACACATTTTAAGTAAGGATTCAGCTATTACTGACATAATAATTAAAATTAGAATTTGGTCAAAATTCCAAACTATTTCCAAATCAAAATTCTTCCCCAAGAAAGTGAAACATTCAGAGCGTACATAGATATTTCTATGTACTCACTAATTCTTTAAAATATATAAACACACATAACTTACTTTTACAGTTCCCAAGTCCATTGGATGTTTTATAACTTCGTGATAATCAGGTAAATCAAGAAGTTGTGCATCTACTGGTTTATAAAAAGGCCAAGCATAACCCTGAAACAAATACGAAGATACTTAAATGCTCATACATATTAAGCTAAACAAAGGAAATTATCATTGTATATATAGATCTTAAAGACAGCCTCCCCCAATGTGGTTAATATATGATTTCTAAGAATATGCAACTTCATAATTATTATTCAAATGTACTTAGATAATTATGATATTGTTACAGTAACCCAATCTGAAAATCATAAAAGCACATAACATTATCAACACTTAGCCCACCTGCAAAAAGTTTTAATATGCAAAATATACAAGTTTATTTTAAAAAATGTTTTACAATTTTCTAGAATTATTTCCATGAAATCTTGATAATATTAGAATGGCTACATTATGTATGAATATTAATACAATTGTAATTATTATTGGTGTTTACACAGCTTATAAAAACTTTCGTATTTTTTCTGCATGTAATAGTATATTTTGGTGCTCACCGAAAACTTCTCTAAATTTATTTGACAATGTTAAACTAATATTGCTAATATCCTGTATTTCTCTCTGCACTTTCTTTTTAAAATTATTTTACAAGCATTATAGTTCATTACTTGATAATATTATATATCGTTCACTATTGAAAAATATCACAAATGACTCTACTGCAGACAAATTAATAGCAAAATATTTTATATTACCAAAAAATATACAACGGTATGAAAAAAAATCAGTTAAAATTTTTTAAATTCAGCTAAAAATATGTGGGAGGGGAAAAATTACTTACAGCATGCTTCTTGGCAAAAAGCTCTTTTAATACTGTATTGCAATACTTCATCTGTTCAGACATCCGCCCTTTCTTTGGCTTTACACTTGGTTGCTAAATATATAAATATTTTCGTCAGCATTATCTATTAATAATTTTATAGGAAATACTAATTTTTTGTCTCAAGAGAAGGAATGATTTTTGAATGAATGTTATATTAATAACATTTGAGTGTGTTCACTTATAATCATAATGCAAATAATAAATTGCTTCCTTAAGTTTTCAAGAAGTTAAGATTTACAAATGAATATACTGCTTACAACTATAAGATGAACAAGAAAGAACAAGGTGAAGATCAGTGAAATATTAATCAGTAAAAGACGTTTTCTAAATTTAAGGATTATTAGCAGAGACAACATATCATGAAATAACCATGTATTGAAATTAAAAGGATTTTTCTTTTGTCAACTGACATATAAAATACCTAGCACTATTTCTGAGAAAAAATACAGTAGTAGTGAATTTAAAATAGAAAATGAACAAGAGATTTAAGATAAAAGATGTAACACTTAATAAATGCCAATTATCAGAATTTTAGTCAGTCAATCACACTTTGACATTGATTCCATTCTTCAGAAGAGGAGAAAATAGGTCTACGATTATTATCTCTGTGATATGAAAATTACTGAAAATTAGCAACCAGAAAATAATTGCTCAATTAAAAATTAAATAAATGTTTCATCACTAAAAGGTTAATCTCAGAATTTTCTTATTTCATATATTAGATAACAGGGTCACATCAAAGAATGTCATCAAAGATTTACCTAAATTTAAATGTAAAGGATACAAAGGGCTTTACTTATTGATATAGTCTACCCATGGTCAAAATAACTACAACCTTTAGGGCAGAATATTTCAAACTCAAATATCAGAGTTCTTGAGACCTGAAGAGTCCGGAAGTTGGCAAGAAAGATCGCAGATAAAGTTTTATTTTTAATCAAAGAAAACGTGATCTATAACCTTTCTTAACTGTACCCCGTTTTGTAAAAATATTGTTTTATTTTCTAAACTAGCTAAAAGATATAAAATACTAACAGGATGACACTAATATAGGTTATTTTACAGGCACATTCCTAAATCTGAAATCAAAATAACATTTCTAAAATTCATACTTGCAACTTTAAAACACTAAATTATCTACTCCATTTTCCTGATTTAATTCCTTGACAAGATTCCCCCCTTTTTTGGGCACTATATGAAAAATGTTTTAAAAGTAATAAAATGAATACTTTTGTTGAGGTAAAAACTAATCATTAAAAAGCAAATATTAACAGCAATTTTAATTTTGATCTTTCAAAGGAAATCCAAATCCATGAACTTTTTTAATACAGTATTCCTTCTTCCCCCCCAAAAGGAGGCAATGAAATTATAATAGTTTCTAGATAAAGTATCATAAATGCTATCTTTAACTACAGAGTGTCTTAAACGGTCGTTGCCAAACTTAATATATTAGTCTGTAATACCAAGAGAAACAGAATTTACATAAGAACTTGTGTCCAAAAAAGTAAATGGCGACCACTAAAGGCAATGTTCGCAGGCTTATAGGAGAGTGAGATGTTTGTTCATTTCAGGCAAGGATGTTGCAGGAGAAAGATAATTCCTTTTACTAACTCATTTCTTTACGGACACGTTCTGTGGAAAGAGTTTTGCCAGATATAACGGTTGACGCTCCAGCAGCTACACACTGAAACATCTGATTTAAGCTTGATAGAGTGCCTGCATATTGCAGCACTATGTGGGAATATCGGTTGGAATAATATAGGCTGGATTCGCAAATGCGGACCAGTTGCATGGCCACCATGATCCCCAACCTGGTATTCCGCTGGATTTCTACCTTTAGGGTTACACGAAGTCAATGATGTACAAGGCAAAAAGAGCACTGGACATGGATTTAATTGCCAAGATAGTGGAAGCAGCTTAAATGGGTCCATGAATCCATGCGCCAATGTTGTGAAGCATGCATTGCAAAGAAAGGAAGGAATTTTGAACATCTGTGATTAAGCCATGTTCTTTAATAAAAGTCATATTAACACCTCTTTCAACATCCTTTCTTTCTTCCCCTCTATGCTTGCAAACACAGTTTGCATTTTTGGAAACAAATTCCTACGTAAATCTTGTTTGTCATGTTATGATAGACCAGCATGATAAGTTTGGCAACGATCTTTTGAGACACCCTGTATAAATTAAAAAGAAAGAAAGAAAACTTAATTAGTAACATAAAGATACCTTTAAATTTTATCTATTTACAGTGAAAGGAATTCGTACATTTATGTAACTATGGCTGCTTTTTATAAACTAACTCAATTACAAAAAAGGGACAAACTGACATTCCCCCCAACAAACAAATTTATTTTTAAGTATCAAATTTTATAATACGAAAAGCTCAGTAGTTTCAAAAATAATTTTAAAAAAATTAATAAAAGGACTATGCATAACATAGCATCTTTCAGTTTTTAAGCTTATCTGATGCCTTCCCATTCCTTTTCACTACTTAATGAGAATAATCATTCTTCCAATTGTATTAACTACTTCCCCTAGGAAATAAAATGTTTTCATATACAGATAGCCCTCCTACAACACGGTATCCTGTAACACAGTTTCGCTATAAGATGAATCATAAATTAAGAGAACCTTCCTACAACATGGCATCCTATAACATGGTTTTGCTCTAACACAATAAGAAAAATTCACCAAGAAATTTAAGGAACTCCACATGACATTGTCCCATATTTGAGCAAAGCACCAACATAAGAAAATGGTGGCTGAAATATATGCCAGATTCGTAGAGTCTAAAAAAAGGGGGGGGGCTCTGACTCAAATCTTAGTCAGAGAAATTCTGCCTCCTCACCTCTCAGGGTGCAGGGATAGTCTCAGGCAAACTTGCAGCTTGCGTGTGATGGGTACCTGCATAAATAAAAGTTTAAAAATTCGATAAAAAATTCGATCGCATGTTTGTTTGTATCAGTTCTTTGTGAAGATTGAACCGTAAGATATAGATGATATCACTTGACAAGCATACGGTAGATGTAAAAGTAACAATATTCATAACGTGGAAAGAGTAGAGTTTCACACTGAAATGCCAATTGAAGGAGGTGGAAGTAACATTCCTATTTCCCGCCTTTTTAAGTAAACCTTTCCAAAATTTTCAACCTTTTAAAAGTTAACACATAAGAATTCTTGTTTTGTAAGTCATGCCAGTTGCCTTCCAAGATTTGGTTCCGATAAAAACAAAAATCCTCAGGAAGACGAGCCATATGTTAGAGACCAACCATTAAATTTTTAACCGGTAACAAGTGAAAATCGTTTCCTTCCATAACTGTCAAAGTAGAGCACAACAGAATCACTAACCAGTCACAAAAGACCAAAGCCATCAGATAACAATGAAAGAACACTATCGCAGAAGATGAACGACACTGGGTTAGAATGAGGGCTCCAAAATGCACAACTTGAACGTTCGGCTTCCAAAATTCGAATCCGCATCTACGTGGCCTGAAAACAAAAGCGTCTCACGCCGCTGGTTGTCAGTCTGCGTGGAGCCTCCGTATGTTAAAGAACAACTTTTTTGCATTAAGTTTTAGTCTCAAAATATGTCCAATAAAGATAAAAAAAAAAACTTTTACAGGGTTCGTGGGCATAAATTTAATTAAAAAAATAAGCACCTATAAGCACTTTTCAAGCACATTTTAAGGAAAAAATAAGCACCTGTCTAATTACACTATACACAACTGCATAACCTTAAAAATTAGATTTGTAATTTAAAATATGAGCAATGCAATATTTATTAAGAGAATGAGCATTACCTCAACCATGGAAAACAATTAACTTTTTCTTAAATTTTAAATGACAGTTCAATTTACAGAATTAGTTTACAATGAGAGAAAAAAAACTATGCAGAACTAAACTATATTACAAGATTTAATGATGAAATTTCAGTTCAAAATAGAGAAAATAAATAATAATAAGCCATATTAATTGTATTTGTTTGGCACCTAATAATAAATACAATTTATTTTTCCACTCATATTAATATTTAAATAATTTAACTTAAATCAAAATTCTGAACATTTTCTAAATTTTCATTGCATAACAGTTTGTCCTTAACATATATCCCTGGCAAAGTAATTTAAGTAAAAAAGTGGCACATTTCTGAAATCGGAAGACAGGAAATTGCTTCATGCAGTCATCCTTTAACTGTAAAAGCTTAATTAACCCGCATACTTGGAAATTGCCGAATATTCCGGATAGTAACTGGAAAAAGAGGAGTGGGGGAGATTGTAGCCGTTCTTTGGATTTCTCAGCTAAATAAATGATTTTGACATTTCGATATGTGCATCATATACAAATAGATCAACGGAACTGAGAAATATTCTGCTTAGAAAGCACAGTAAAACTCTTTTAAGTGTTCATAAACAAATCTCAGACTGAACATCAAAATTAATTATCTCTGCAAAATACCGCAAACGTTATTGCGCAATACGTACCGCGTAATTCTTCCACATGTGATATTACGCAATCGGAATCAACAGCTGCCGGTATTGGGAGAATAAAGAACTAAATAAAGGAAAAGAAAGAGACTTAACCTTTTACACGCCAATGTTCCATAAATGAAACATCGAATTTAAAATTCCATAAAAAACACAATTTTATTAATATTGCTTTGTATAAATTATTACATGGAGAGTAAATATTGATTGATGTTTTAGTAGCAATATAATTCTTCTAAAAGAAAAATTATCTTGATAAAAATATTCATTATTTCACCTTTTTTCCTTCTTTTCTATGAGCAAAGTTCAGAAATTCATATAAAATTAAAAATTCAACAAATGTTTTTAAAACTCAATGAGGATATTTAAAAAGGATCATTTTATGCATAGACAGTAAGTTATCATAATAAGATGATGATTATTTTTTACTCTGAGGTAAGAAATGTGGATGTTCCAGAAATGTAACATTGGCGTATAAAGGTATATTTTTTAACATGATGAAATTACTTTGATTGCCGTGAATAGAGAGGCATGGAGAAAGATTTTCCAAATGTGAAAAGTTTCAGTACG